CATAGCTTACCTGTCTAATATCAATCTGTCAGGAGATAGTGACAGAATGAACAAATATGTAAAAAATACATTTTTAGAAAAGTTACATACTGCACCTTTAAATGTTAAAAATATATGTAAATATTTAATCCTGAATCCAAATGTGTACATCTAAATGTTGAAGGTAATTGTTGAAACTTACATTTAGGTATTCTGGAATGGAACTCAGCTGCTGCTGTTTGTGCTCAGTTCTTGTTAGGAATGAGTGAAACGCAAATTATTCCAAAACATAACGACTTCATAAGCTTTCATTCATTGTACACCTGAAGTTTACAACTTTGAGTCACACAAACGGACTCTGAATTGCTTGTGTTTTTAAACCTTTTTGTCTTTTGCTGTAGGCATCGCCATTTCTGATGAGCTTGACCAGGTAGGCACAATCTGAATGAGTTTATCTCTGTAAAACTCCTTTTTATCTAATGATGTTGAAGTTGTGAGGAAATGAAGTCCTGTTCCGTCTGAGTTTCTCCACACTGCATCAGAGCAGCACAGCTCTGCTTCTGATGATGACTTATCTTGTGGGAGTGAGATTTATCAGCCATCCTGTCTTACATCTCCCTCTGCGTTGCTTCTCCGCTCAACGTCTTCCTTGCAAAAACTTTGCCCGAGCCCGGTCTTTGTCTTCGCAGAGTCCCAGTTCTCTCTCGGCACAATAAAGCAGAGTCTGCCCGGCGGAAGCTGGACAGATCCTTTCAGAAATGATGGATGAGAAACGCTGCACGTCTTTTGTGCGTGGTGGAGCGGTTACACTTCCAACAGAGTTTTCTTTCTTCTGATTGAAATGTAATGAATAAGCACACGCTTTCATCATGCTAACGCTATTGAGTTCCAAACCAAGCAGGATTTAGTCACGATAAGCAGAGATATTTTGGATTTTTGCATTGATGTGTAAATGTGTGCAGGAATCAGAATCTGCATTTGAGAGCTCCCTTACAGTATTTGCTGATGTTCGTTTTTGCTTTGATGTGTAAAGTTTTGTGATTAAAAATGGCACTTTCTGAAAAAAATATGACGTTTTAATTAGTTTCATAAGCCCACTGGTAATTTTTACATTAATTTTGTTTTAAGACCTTTTTGGGATACAACGCAGTCCTGCGCCCTCGAGTGGTGGGCGAGTGGGTCGGCCGTGAGGACAACGATGCAGACCCGCTGGCCGCAGAGATGCTGCACCCCCCGGTCCCCCGAACCAAAGCTGAAGTGTGTTGGAGCCGAGACAACAGCCCGGCTCACAGGTCAGGACGCTGCAGCTCTGTGGTCACATGCATGTGTGAAGCTGGGAAGTTTGAACAAAAATGACAAAGCTGCTCTAATGGTTCTTCTGAGTGTGGCTGCCTGAGGACTACCCATCTGAATGGCTCTGATAATCCCATTTCAAAGGTGCGATCAAACATGGTTGCCATGAAACCGCCTCAGCACAAATTCAAATTAAAGCTAACCTAATTTCTGCAAACTGGAAGCCAAAGGAATTTTGCCTGATATAAAATAATGGTCCCACTTTAACTGTAAAATCCAGACGTGCAGCAAGTCACTTAAAAACTTACCTACGTTTTAAATTCATGTTCATAAAATGATTTTATTTTGATATAATCCAGTTGTCTCTGTCAGATGTTGCTGAGTTAATTGTTGAAGGTTAGTGTTTAAGTTAAACTGTGAATACAGGTGAAGCCACAGTACGAAGAGCTGTGAGAACTTTATATATATA